GACAAAATCACCATCAGTCAAATGCAAAAAGCCGCACTGTTTGGATCTGCACGCATATTACAAAAATAGGTTACGACGTCCTAGGCCCCTGGGTGGGGCCCAACTAGTAACCAATGCCAAATCCGGAGAAAAAACTGGCCGCTGTGATACAATTGTATAATAATAATAAAAGAAAAACCAATGTTCTGGTGGTCATTTTGAAAAATCCTTTCTTAGCGAGCACCTAGAAGCCAAGAGGAATATATGTACCAAATTTCAAATTTTTAGGCTTTATGGTTTTGGACATTTCATGATGTTGCGTGGGTGGTATTTCGCTTCAATATATATACAGTAGATTATATGTAGTGAAAGCAATTCATTTTAATAGTGATATGTTTTGTAGATTTCCTAACTTTAGCTAAGCTAGCAAAATACAAGATTGTTATACAAAGTAACCCTATGATAAACAATCTTACATTGCTTAATATGTATTGTTTGCTCCTTGGGCCATTATGGCTATTGGAGTACAGTATTTAAGGGTGAAGCTAATTACACTATTTTTAAGGATTTGCCAAAGATATACCTCCCACCTGTTATATATGAGCATCTGAAGTTGCAATCACTTAATCTAATCTTCAGTTTAAAGATGTATTCCAAGTTTAAGTTCCATATTTCTATTAATTTCCTCTTATTCTTTTAAAGATCATGATACTTTTCAAATGGAGAATTTGAAAAAGTGGAAAACATCATTTGAACCAAGGACATTTCAAGAAAAAGCTAGTGTAGAAAATGCACTACTTGAGTCCACACAAAATACTAAACTAAATAAACAAACAAAATATATACGCTTGGACTATGATTTAATAACTGGCAGATGAATGCAAAGCCCTTTAGTTAAGTTGTGATCTATGCTGTATATTAAACCAGGTGCTGGTTTAGTTGCTTTATAAGAAAACCTGTCATGCATGTAATTACTTTAAGATAGCCAAGCAAAAGTATAAAATAAAAATTCCCTTTCAATCAATGTATCAATTCCCTTTCAACTGCGCATGTGCGGGACCTGGATGACTGCCTGGTTTCTCGCTCGATAGAAGCCGGTGAGGAGAAAGAAGATCTTAGAGGAGCCTCTGGAGTCTATTATAATTCTAACAAAAGGTCCTGAAAGGGCTGAATCTCGCAGATCATGTGAGGATCGGCATTTGAATAACAGCCGCCTCCGATCGCTTTTCCAGCTGCGGATCTGTGGAGGCCTAGAACTGGAACTGTTTGCACAGCGTGGAGGAGAGATGGCGCTGCCGCGCTGCTGAATGCTGCATTCTTACCAATTTCTGACACCTGCCTTTTGATTCCATCTGAGTGGCTGCCTCTCCATCTGAAGCCTGCCTTCTGATTCCGTCTGGGCGGTGAGCAGCGAGCTGGGGGGGCCAGGGGACCTGTTCATTGGTGCCATCTGGAACGGAGTCTTTCGGGATCAGCGGATTCGGCGGCTGGCTGTGTCTGCTGCCGCTGTGGTCGTCCTGGACGCCCCCGCCCCCCGTTGCCCTGCTCGCCTTTTAATGTCTCTCCTCTCACCCCTGTGCGCCCCTGCGGGTTCCTACGGTCCTGGGTGAAAATCTGCCAGAGCTGGCCGCTCAATTGCCTGGTCGCGCTGCTCGGAGCGGAGAAGAAGATGGCGGTGCCATGCTGCTGAGTGCAGCATTAACATCGTCGTTAACATCATCCACTGCTGAGTCTGAGAGAGGCCTGGATGCCCCCCCTTTTTTTCCATCGTACTGGCCTTTTTACCATCGTAGCCTTCTTCTGATATTACTCCTTTGCCCCCCCCTCCCCTGCTGCCGGCGAGCCTTACCATCTCCCTACCCAACACTGACTCTCCTCCACCTTGGCTGGTGACCACCTACTCTGGCCATAATAACTGTCCTCTCTTTGACCGTCTGCTGCCTGCCATAGCCCCAGATAGTTAGGGAGATTTAGGTAGACATATAGGTATAGGCCTAGGTTTAGATATAGATAGATATAGATAGTTAATTAGATTTATAGTTTAGGTATAGTTTAGGTATAGGTACTGGAGGCAGTGCCATCTGTGGGTGCTTTCGGCCTTTGGGCAGGGCTGATAGAGACCAGGGTTGGGGTCTGGGCTAGGGTTGGTGGTAGAGTTAGTGTGGGGGTTAGGGCTAGGCAACGCTTGGGTTAGGATTAGGATTAGGATTGGTGTAGGGTTAGACTGGGTGAGGTTAGGTTGGGTTGGTGTTAGATTAGGCCTTAGGTTTAGAATTAGAATTAGGATTAGAATTAAGATTATAATTAGGATTAGATTAGGACTAAGGCCAGGGTTGGAGCAGGGCTAGGAGTGATAGATGATGGCAGCCGTAGGGGCCAAGACCTGGCTCTGTGGAAATTCGCACCCTTTACCTTGTCTTCCGGAGCAGCTCGGGCCACTCCCAGACATTGGCCCCCCAGACTTTGCCCCCCCCCGACTTTGGACCCTGCTCAATCTTAGGAGAGGGAGAAGAACTACTTTCCGGCACGTGTCCACTAATCTCTTTCTGGACTTGGAGGGCTTAAGACTGGAAAGCTACTGTTTGTCAATACCGGACCCTTATTCCTTGCCCTCTCCATTTACAGCCACTTTGCACACCATTGACTTTGGTCCTGTGGCCTTGGAAATTTCTCTGGGGCACAGAGGAGGGGAGAAGAGTAGAGCAGCTCACCCTCCATCTGCACATCATTGTCTTACATCGCACTAG